AAATGTTTTTTGTTGTAAAATTATATAAATAAGTTACAAATAGTTAACTATTATTTTTTAAAATTCTTAGTATTAATTAAATGTTTTTAAAATTAAAACAAGTGTTATTACTCTAATTCCCTTGTGGAATTATACTTGAAAAACACTTTAACAATGCTCATTTGGAATCAGTATTATAATAAGCTATATTAAGATATATTTCAGATTATATTATATATATACGTCCAAGATGTAGCCCTCCATATATTAAAATCAAGATCTCAAAGCAGTGTAACAGTAATAAATTAATAATGCATTTGATCAAGCTTGATGTTATTCGATGCACAATAATGTTGACTGTTTTTATGTAATAAAGAACATTTTAAATGATTAGTCCTATTACCTAGATTCATTTTGTAAAACCCAAAATCATTAGTTAAGTACTTATTTTTAGGACTATTCATTACGATAGTTTCCATAAACAATTTTATAAATTTATTGTTTGTTAATATTAAGTTTAGCAAAAATTTTGTTTACGTTTTATGCTTATTGTTAATGTTAAAAAACTTGTTTCGATTGTTGATTTTGTTAATGTTATATTATTGATTAAAGTTATGAATATTTGCAAGGCATACGTTATATTAATAAGTTAACAGCAAGTCTATATGAACTGCTAATATCGATTGTTAATGACAATTTCACAATAAGTGGGTATTATTTAACAATACTAATTTATATTAAATTTATTATTACTGTAAAATGGCAAAGGGACATCTTTCCCCGAATCGAGTAGGATAACTCATTTTTCCATTTATTAAAAAAGAAAGTAACGCTAAATAACGTATAATTATAATATATTACTTATAAGAAGTGTTCAATAATCTTAAAATGCAGATCAAAATCTACATAAAATTACTTGTAAATGGTGATCCACGTACTGAAGTGTTTTAGTCTTGCAATTATACGATTTTTTTTGTGCTAAAATACAATGATAGACATGTAGCAAAATTACAAGTACTATAATTGTGGGAAATACTGATTAAGTTATTTAAACAAAAATACTTCTGAACACATTCACTGCTCCCGCACGCATATGTTGCGTGAGACCGTTGTCAATAACCAGGCGCCAAACGCACCAGATGCGTTTGCTTTCTGTTGCCATAGTGTTTTTAGTAAAATAAAATGATTAAATCGAAATTTTATACTGCAATTATTTCAAATTAAAGGAGTCATATTTATTCTATACTGATACTTTTTTTAATTTCCAGCTAACTTGTCTAAAAATGGATTTATTTGATATTATATAAAGTTTAGCATATGGTGAAGTATAAGCAACACAAGTTTAGCAGTGAATGTGTTAATTTTGTGAAATGTTTTAGTATTGCATAACGTATGCCTTTATAAATATTGGACCTTGATCATTTCAAAAAGCCCGGTGCGTGTACGTAATTTTTTAAAGTTTATGTTTAGATGTTAATTAAGTATTAAAGTTTCTAATAACTGATTCTTCATCTAAATTAAAGAGTCTTAAATATATGTTGTCCGAATAAAAAAGCAATAATTCATATTTTTTATATTTCCAAAATATTTCCTTCAATTCAATAACAAGATATTTGTAATTTTATATGCAACATGTATTTACATATAATATACTAATTTATTATTTCATCGCAATAGATTTGCTTTACAACTGGACAATCGCCAAATTCATTTCTAAATGTTTCGAATGACATTTACATTTCATCACCGTTTCTTTATCTCCCATATGAAAAATATGAATTTTTGTTAAAACTTGTAAAATATATATGAACTATTCCTATGTATATTTCCAATGTTAGTAATGTAAGCGCTGCGTAATTAAGGACAGTATTAATTACATATAATACAACATATTATTTTTCAAATGAATATAATATTTGCGGAATAATAAATATTTTGTCAAATTATCTAGTCTGGTAACATAACACGCATACAAACGATTGCTCATGGATTTTTTATTGCTCAAAGCTATAGAATAAAATTGAAATGTAAATGAAGACAGTGTTTTATTAGTAAAAATTATTTATTGCAGCATCTTGTAAAATTTAACAATAATCGATGTAGTAAAGGGTCAACACTAGAACAAACTGTAATGAAGCCCCAACTACAATAAAACTATACATTTTTAAGCAAATTATATATAATTAAATTTAAAGCAACGATTTTCTATATATAATGGATAAAATCTGAATGAATAACATGCATACATACAAGTCCAACTTATTTATAATTTGTTCACAGTTTTGTGTTTTTTTTTTTAGATATATAGATTATAATATTTTAGTTTCTTGTTCATTATGGAAACTTTCTAAATTTCTCTAATATTTTTCATTTTTAATTCAGCACATTTGTGTCAAATAATTCAAATTTTCAAGATTTCAGTTCAAATGTTCATTTGTGATGTTTTTTTTTCAAAGATGAAACATTCTCTTATTGTTTGATTAAGTTATTTTTCACGGTGTAACTTTAGTAGTGTAGTATCAGTAGATAAATTTCAGCTATATTTATCACGATTACAATATGATAGTTTATAAAATAATTAGTGCTGAAAACTGTTTTCCGTATATTGTTTTAGAAATATTTTGAACTTGAAAAAATCTCAAATTTCTTTGTCTAAACCTGACACTACACATGTTCAACGAATGCTTTAATTAGGCAATAAACCAATGATTCCTGAAATAGTCCACAAGGACCCCCAAAGGTCCATGACACTATTTAGGAGGTCCAAGTCAAAAGAAGAAAAATCGGGATATACGAATTGAAAATGGGGATCCACAGTATGATGCACTACATTACTATCTATTGACTATATCAAAATGGAAAGTAAAATGCAATATTTATAAATAGAACTAAAAAGTATTTTTTTGAAGTAAAACTTCTTTAGGCGCGACAAGGGTGTAAATCCGTACAAATGCAACGGAAGTCCCAAACTTTTTGTCATTCGCTCTCGATGAGATCATTTCTATATGAGTCGATTGTGATTAGTGGTCGTGTATGTGAATAAACATTTGTCGTTGTATGCGTACCGCTATCAACAAGGAAATCAGCATGGACAAAGAAACATTTTAAAGTTACATCGTGGTACAAATCCTAATTTAATGAAAAATGCCTGAAACAGAAAATTATTTTACCCCGTTCCTTGAATATACTACTAAACTAAACGTAAGTTTATTGATTAGAAATTATTTCTATATTCTTAGTTTCTATAAATCTTTCAAGTTATTAAATTGGAAAATATTCTTTAGGCAAGACAGATATTACAGCTGTTCAAAGAATGAGATTATATCGCCAGCGAAAAAGTAAAAAAATACAAGAAGTCAATGAATGTATGTTAATTTTAATTACATGAAGTTCTTCAAACACAATTACATGATAAGTGAAGTTGCGAAAAGAATATTTGTTCAGGCTTTGTTTAACATAATCCACTGTGTGAACAAATATTATAAAAGTTATCAGCAATTACTTCATTTCTCTAATGAAGGTTCATTTCTAAATGATAATTATAATGACAAACCGATCATGTCATATTTGAAGCATTACTTTAATTACATTATTGTTTTTAAATATCATACATATTTTTAATGCTATTATAAATATATAATTTATAATTTATCATTATATAAATGTGTATAATGTTTGACACTAATAAATGTGTGCATCACGAGTGTTACCATATTACTAATAAACATTATTCAAAATTGTTATATGATATATTTATTTTTACTTAAATGCGATCTTGTACAGTAGCATTTAAATTTTACTTCAATCGCATGTGAACCTTACGCGCACTCTTTTTTTATAAAAATGTGCAAGTTGTAGCATTCGATTTATGGTCGTAATATTATTGAGCTTGGAAAGACCAATTTGCTAACTATTGAAAGGCTTGGCAAAATTCTTTGCGCTTTTTGAGACTGTATAGTATTTCTGGATACTAAAAATAAAAGACGGTTCAATAGTTGTGAAATAAACAGTAGGAAGATGATTTAGCGTTGTTACTGATCTAACAAATAAAAATATGTAGATTGGACAACTAGCCGGGAGATCTAATATTAATTAATAAACCTTACACAATTGTAATCAAATAATAGTTAACCTTTTTTTGTTATTGTTTTTAAATTCAATTGGTAAGTGTATACAATGGACATTTACTTTTACTTTAAATATTTAATAAACTTAAGTACAGTTATAAATTTACAAAAAAGCGATATCGTGTAAATATGGGGTCCATCGCAAAGTCCAAAGGGTTCACGACACAAAGTTTTAAGCAATAATCAGCATTTATAGTACGCATTTTTGCTATTGCTTAAATTGTACAAAAATTGCTGCCCATAAAATACGTCTCTGACTGAAGAAAACATCCACCACCAAGTTAACTACAAGTAAAAGATACGTTACTTACCACTGAGTAATAGGTTCACCGAACAATAGTAGAAACTATAATTGGCACTAACACACATTGTCTAATATATCACGATTTTAACAAACGCGTTTGCACGTAACACTTGCATATCACACGCAAAACCGAACATAACAGAAAAATGTAATAAAATTTAAGAAATATATTGTATTTACGAGGTAAACATACTATGAACAGATATTATACACTAGAGTAAATTATTCAATACGTTTAATTTGCTGAACAACAAACTCAAATTTGCACTAGCACTAGAAAAAGTATTATCTCATGACTCATCGCGGCTTATAAACACGTTTTCACAAATAATTAAAATCGGCATCACATTTGCACACGCTACGAGTTATTGGTCCATCAACAGTCACATAAATGATGCCAATGTTACACTAATATGTATTTAAACAATTACAATAACTAAAATTCACGTATAGTCTATCCTCAATAGTCTATCTACTTCACCTAGTATTAACACGAGTCCACGCGCGTCACTAAATTCAGTTTTCACTATTGTCAATAAGAATTGCGTAACGTACCTATCGGTCCTACTGCAGACCCAATACTGAATGCGTCAATCTAATATCACAGCCATAAAATCATTCCACCTATAGACAAATGTCATAGATAAAAGGTACCAAAAACCAAGGATGTGCGCAACCTTCATGCCATGTCCGGCCATTTCTTGTACAGGTGTACTGCACTGCAACAATTGCATTTTGTCAACAAAATAAAAAAGTATGTTACGACTTAAACGAAATCATGCGACAAATTAAAAAATGTTTTCTATCACTAGTAAATCAAATGTTTATCTTTTTCCGAAATTTGTTAGGCTATATAGTAGTCTGTATAAAATTTTAGAATTCGGCCAATTCTCGCATAAAATAAAAATATGATGATGATGCTATGTTAAGGTGCGCGTCCTCACCTAACGAACGAGCACGAACGAAAATGACGAACAAGAAAATATAAAGACGAACGAACACGAACACGAACGAAGGCGAATCATTCCAAACGAACTTGAACAAACGCCTTAAAGCAGTGAGGGCTTGAATCTTCTTTGTTCGAGGATGTACCGAGAAACGTCAGTTTTATTATTTGAAGTGGAGGAAAAGGAAAAAAATATTGAAAGTGATCAAATTTACAAAATTTATCAATAATAGCAATATCACATAATAGCCACAACATAAACTGATGCAGGACTGCACATATTAACATAAACTAGTGGGGCGCATGGCATTGTGCCTAAAAGCAAATTGCTGGAACTTCCCGTACCAAAAATTATTATTTTTTTAAAAGATTAACATTTTTGAAAAAAAAATTACTCTGAAAAATTAGATTTTTGAGAAACTATAAATTTTTGACAAAAATTTACTTTTTTTTGAAAAAAAAGACTTTTTGAAGAAAAGTGTATTTTGAAATATTTTGGAAATGCTGAACTTTCTTTCATAGCAATCGTACTGCTTTAACTGCATAGAAACGAAAAATCGAAGCGCGTAACTCTGTTTTTTCATTAGATCTCCGAAACCGCTAGACCTGCCTTCATGAAAATTTGATCAGTTTTTCATCTTGTTAATACAAGTAAAATGCTTTTTGAATTATTCAAATCGGACGCTCCGTTCTCTTAAAAACAGAGTTACCGATTTTGGCAATTTTGCCCCATATCTTCGGAACGGCCAGACCTGCCTTCCGAAAGTGCCAAAAACTAATCAGCACGTCTCATTATCAATACGAATCGAATGTTTTTTGAATTATTCAAATCGCTTCATCAGTGTTCCCGAAATCGTTGACGAAATTTTGTATCCCCACACACATACACACACACGCACACACACACGCACATACATCCATTTTTTCTAAGGTATGCCAAAATGTTCAGAAACCTCTGAAACGTAAAGATATATAAAAAATTTCATTTTCGATTTTTTGCGATTACTATAACTTACCCTACGGGAAGTTAAAAAAAATATTTGTCTACATTCTTGGTAGCGTCCACACTGCACATACGAACAATTTTCTTTGATGTACCCACAAGTTGCGTAATATTGCTCGCTATGTTCGTTTGTGTTCGTTCGTGTTTGTTGTGGCGTCCACACTATGCTTGTTGCCGTTCGTTCTGGTACGTACATTCTTCCTTGTTATCTGGTAATACTAAATTTGTGGAACCTCAGATTCGAAGCCCATAGCTCTAACCACTAATAATTCTTTGCCGTTAAATACCTGTTATTACGGCTTCATTAAATGTATTGAATTTTCTCACATATTATTTGAGTGCCTCAAAACGCCCTTGTTTAGGAAATCTTCTATGTCAGCCACTGGCGCAGCAACTTCCTCAAAATAAAATTTTGTCATTAAATATATATACTTTTTGTTAGGAATTATTAGGCATAGTATAATGTTTTTCAAGATTGACTCATTTAGAATAGAGTTTGACTTGATATCATTGTAATTTTTAATTCACATTATGTGGTTTATACTAATCGATATGCATTAATAAAAAAAAATCTTACATACATTTATTCTTATTTATTCTTGTAAAAAATAAAATTTATGAAAATGCTTAATTCTTAATAAAAAGATCTATTAAATTGTTATTTTTCTTAACTGTTTTAGGATCTACCAATGATAATCACTGTACTAGCAAAAATAACGGAGATATATCTTACATCTATTTGAATATATTTCTTGATTTTCAACAGCAGTATATTTATACAAAAGATAAAAACCAATAGGAAAAAAATGCATTTAATTGCATATGGTACCACTTTAATAAATCCCCAGCTTTGAAAAGATTAATCGAAACCATTTTACAACTGCACTTATCTAAAAAAATTAAAAGATGATATTTTAGCTAATGATATATCATTATTATATATTTTAGTCATTTTCTAAATTTAAAAATAAAATAACAAGCTATAATTATTAGCCATACTCACATATTTGATAAATTCATACAACAATCGATCAGATTGAGTATAAAAATAACATAACGGTTTTAGGCAGGTGAATTTTAAATTACCAAATTTATATTTTTATTATCTTGTAACATAAAAATAGTTCTTATAACTTCTTTGGTAAATAAGTATATTTCAATGATTTTTTTAATATAAACGTAATTATATAATAAGATATTTATACAATATATTACAAACTATATAACAGAATATCTAACTAATTAATTTTCAACTTAATTAAACATCAATATAATTAAACAATAAACAATATCTTACCAAATAATTATAGGTTTCATTAAAAGTTAAGAAAGTACAAAAATTGGCACAAATGAATTCACGATAATAGAAAAGTTAAACATAGATTGCTTTTAAATAAACAATTTAAATGTTATATGCATATGTCAATTAAATAAACATGCATATATTCATTAAATTCATAGTGTAAATAATTTAAAGCGCTATGTTAATAAAATATACTTCATAAAACAAAGTAAATTTAAAAGTATATGCAATGTATCCATATCAATTAATAAAATCTTAATAAAATTTATATAATTACTAATATATTACTTTTAAAGTAGCAGTGAAATAAATTTGAATTTTTCTGTATAAATAAAGTCATCCAAACTTAATTACATATATACATATATTAATTTTACATAAGGCACATTTACTTATTATTAGAGCAATTATTACTTCTGACTATATCGGGTTATGCCATATCAAGATGTAAAGATATCATTACCTTTCAATAGTAATCTGTGACAATATTATTTAGTGTTAACTAAAATAAAAATAAATACAGAAATTTCTATATTATTACAAAATATCTGTGATATAATTAATGCAGAACAAAAAAATTAATTTTTAATGTTTTTATCATTTGAAACTATCATCGATGCAATAAAATAATTTTTAATTTCTTATATAACTTTGTTAAATACTATAATGTCAACATTTGTATAAAAAACTACAAGATTTTTATATGACTATTTATTTTCTGAATTATAAATTACTTGAATTATAAATTGTTATACGACTTATACCTGTTCACAGAACAGAAATATTATAAAAATTCTGTACAGAGAATTGAAATCGAGAGTATTAATAAAATTTGATATTGTCATCACTATAAATATTGCCGATATAATTTCAAGCAAAACATTAGAACTTTTAATTTCCACTCCATGTTTTTCATTATTTGATATTTGTTGATATTAATATGTCTTCCATATTAGATCTTCTGGTTGAAATACGACTCATAATTTAAATTTTGAGATTTAACTCTTCGCACTCGAATGGTGACAATATGTCAATATGGTAAACCTTCTAGTAACTCGATGTGTATATATATATACAAACATAATACATACTTGCAATTCGAGATAATTGTAAAAATATTTGTTCTCCAATGTTCAAAAACATAACGATTCCTTACTTGATTCTACTGTGTAATTTTACGTTCACAGGATGTACATTTTCATTAAAATTTGGCCAAGAGTTGATGGTAGGTAGTGTGTAAAGGGTTAAAACAACTACATATATACTTGATTTAGAATATATTACAGTTAAAAAAAAAATAATTAAAAAATGGCGCTTGAAATCAATTCATGTCTCATTTGCCTTAAAATTAAAATTCTAAACTTTATATTAACCTTTTGCGGTCGGCTCGGCTTCACAGCTTGACGCAAAGTTTTAATAAAAACGTACTGATAAGACAGAAATCCACCTGCAGTAGTGCGTATTCCCAAACTGTTACGCGTTACAATATTCTGTAATTAATTATGTTAATACATAATGGATAATCGCCATCCCACCGCAAAGGGTGCATCAACCAAAATCGCGTATAAGTTTTCTATTAATTTGCTCTCTCTCACTTTTAGTTGTATTCAGTCTTTAATATTTATCTTGTTAACTTTCCGTAGCGTAAGTTATAGTAATGGCAAAAAAATAAAAAATTAAAATTTTTAGGTAACTTTACGTTTGAAAGTCTTCTGAACACTTTGACATACCTTAGAAAAAATGAATGTGTGTGTATGCGGATACAATTTTTCAACGACGATTTCGAAAACCGATCAACGGATTTGAATGATTCAAAAAACATTCGATCCCTAATGATGGGAAGACTGATTAGTTTTTGGCCAAGGCAATGAAAAACTGATCAAATTTTTGGGAAGACAGGTCAAGCGGTTTTGAAGATTCAATAGAAAAAGTAAAAAAAATTGCCATTTGGCGGTCAAAAATAATAATTAGGCACATGCTCATTAAATTATCAGATATTTTATAGAGATTTTAATAATAAGTACAAATTTTGTTTCTATGGGTTTCGTATCAATGTTCATCCGCTATAATACAAGACGTCGCTTATGCGCTTCGATATTTCGTCTCTCAAACAGCTACGCATCGCGATTGCTTTGAATTTTTTTTTAATTTTCTAAAAAAAATAAAATACAAATAAATTCTTTTTTTAAAAAAATCGAAATTCTCGAATATCCAATTTTTTCAAAGTTTTCAAAAACTTTATTTACGCTACGGGAAGTTCTAGCAATTTGCCTTAAGGCACAATGCCATGCACCACTAGTTATGTCCTTACGTTACTACCTAATCATAAGAAAGTGCATAACTAACGATAAGAAAATTACAAATATCGTAATGTCTGAATAGTAGAAGGTGCTTGAACCAGCGCTCATGTCGCGGTGTACTTCACGAGCAGCCGTCAAGGCGCTCAGCGTCAATTCGCTGGCGATGCGCGGGCTTCGAGTTCGCACCAGGGCGGCAAGTTTGTCAGCTTCGCGGGCACAGGCATCCAGCTGAAGACGCGACGGATTCGCCACGTTTGTCTGTACAGTTACAAATAAATCCGACTCTGGCGATAAATAGCCGCGTAACGAACACTGCGCGACCTAAATAGAAGAAAATAATTAAATATAAATTCAAGTTTGAATTTTGGTCTCGCTCGTAGGTAAGTGGCTAGAACGACTGGACCTGGATCAGGGGTCCCGGGTACAACGATTTTCACTTGGAAATATAGATAGCAATATGTTTCCAAGTGAAAATAGCCCTAATACGGCATTGCTGCACTAATAAAAAGTCATCACTATTACAACAATTGTAATAATAAAAACTCAGCACATAGAGATGAGACAACTGTTTGGGTTGCCATCCATAATAAAAACAAACGTAGTTTGTAAGAGATTCATCACAACAGCTCATAGAACCCATAAGTTCTGATCGCTGTTCAAATAAATAAAAAAAAAAATGTTTGAATTCTCAAACTACTAAACACAATCGCGTTTTATTTTCTTTTAATCACAAGAAATTTGCAAATAGATATCATAATATAACTACTGTACCCCGCATAACGTTCTAACTTTTTTCGGGTGCGAACGCTCCACGCAATGAACTTTGCTTCATACAACGTTCTGAAGCCTTGTCATTTGTAGTAAAAAATATGTTTCTCAAATTAATTCAAAGGTTGGACCTTGGAAATTTTTGACCTCTCTGTGAAAATATACTTGTTGGAAAAAAATTTCATTCTTAAATGATCTCGCTATATGGTACTTCCCATGGATGATCAAAAATTGAGGAAGGAAAGGCCAGTCAGCAGATTTCTAGTGCGTAAAGACAAGCAAGGGCTTTTTAGTCAAATAGAAAGTAGTGCAAGAATTCGTGAATATTTACTTTTCAAACATTTCTAATATTAGAAATTAGTACAATGCCTATCATTTGCGGTAGATCTTAACACGTAGTAGACCGCATGCCCATCGGTGGTGCACAACGTACTAACATTATCACGTGCGATCTCAACGAGCAAAGCAAGATTACTAGACACGCCGCTGGGTGTTGCCACTATCTTCTAGTTTATATTGTAAGATATTTATTGTTAGCAATCTCTGCTTAATGTTAATGCTCATGTAGAACAGATTGGAGAATAAATTAAATTAAAAAAAGTCTTCAAGGTGTTATAGAAAAGACTAAAGGAGTGTCGACAGTTTCGTCAAAAATTCAGGTGCTAAAAAGGCAAAAAACATCGCTCTGATGGTAACTTGATTCGTAAATTAATAATATTTTTTTAATGTTTTGATTATCTCATTTTCTATGACCATATTTCAAACTACAGAATGAATTAATTTTATTTTCATGTGTTTACATGAAAAAAAAAAGAGTTTCGCATAAAGAGCTTTCTCCCGGAACAAATTAAGTACGTTAAGCCCGATATCATTGTAATTAAGTTTAATTATTTACTTCAATCATTTATTACAGTACCTGGATTTGTCTCTCCAAAGCTTTAAGCAGCGCATACAACGTTAAATGAGATTGTGCAGGACCTCTGAGCGCGTAGAGAGCGCGGTCAATTTGTTTTCTAGAGTATAAAATGCGAACAGCACCAGCGCAAATTGGACAACAAGCTCCAGGCGGAATATATCTGAATGAAACATATAAATAGATATTATATATATATATATATATATATATATATTTATGTGTTTGCATGTATTAAAAATATAGTATTTAAATTTTTCTTATAAGCTATCATTTTTCACATTTCTTCCTTGACAAAAAAATATTTATTTATTTCATTCTACGTTTATGTTATATGGAAAATAACCTCAAGAATTAAGTTCTATAAAAACGATTTCCAAAACAATAAATTTAAAAGCAGACACAAAACCTTCAGACTGTTCTTGCAATTTTTATTTCATAAATTAATTACGTAAGATCAACGATTACAAAAAATGGAAGAACAAGCGATGATTAACAGACGAGAAGGCAAAACGTAAAATCGGTTAGAAAAATAAATTTATTATTTTATCTTACTATGTGTGTCACTCATAATGACACACAACTACAGTTCGGCGTATTTTAGAAATTATAATTTTTACTGAATACACAATTAGATTTTTGGAAAGTGTTGAATTTAGAAAAAAAATTAGTCACCATGGTAAAAAGTGATTTTTTTCATTTTTGAAGTATTTAAAAAAGTGTATATATTTAATATAAAAAATAACATAGGTTATAGAAGCTTCAATACCATATCTTGGATAATTACCCTTCACAATCAGCTTGCTCTAATGATTTACAAACAACATGAAGTCCGCATTGTGCAGAATTAATAGAATCTCCTATCAAACCAACTGCTAAGCAAGGACCATTATAATCCACAGAAGAATAATCTGCATAAAAATTTTATTATTATTTTAAAAATATTTTTTTTAAACTTGATTAACTTTTTTTAAGTATGTATAATATAAATGTAAATAAATTTGTTAATTTCAATGATTGCACACAACTTAGTTTTTTTTTATAAATAATAGTTAACTTAAAAGTCAAAATTGCGTATTCATCTACATATCAAAATAAACCGTTTTTTTTAATAAATAATTTTAGTATATTTTATAAGCTTTTAGAGAATTATTCAGTGAATTTTCAATTGCGACTCAAGTCTATCGATTTGTATTTTTTAGAACACTATGTCTAATCAACAAAATATATAACTATGATGTAATTTGTGAAACTTGTGTAATATATGTGTTTACAAAGTTCGTTTGGTTTCAGTAAATTCAAAAATATTATATTTAGCAATTAGTTTCTTTTGCACTTGTTCTAATTTTAAACGATCAAATCATTATCTAGAAGTTAAAAGTGAGGATATAGAAAATCAAGCAAAGGCAGAAAAAGTTAAACAAATAAATAAAAATAATAAATAAGAACAATCATAAGATAAAAATAAATGAATAAAATAAATAAAATAACAGTAATAACTAGTTGTAAGTTGCATTTGGAGCGCAAAGTGTGTAAAAATGGTCATGCAGTTTTTCAGAGAACGTATCATACAATTGGAATAATTTAAAATACATGTTGCTTGTTAGGCGGTGTGCAAAAATGCTTTTACAAAAAAATTGTCATTTGGAAAAATTTCAAATTTTCAAAATTTTCAAAAAAATCTAAATTTTGAAAAAAAATAAAGGAATATAATTTTCAATAAAATATCGTTTTTTACAAAAATTTCGGAAAATTTCAAAATTTTCATTTTTTTTAAATTTCAAATTTACAAAAAAAAATCAAAATTTTCAAACATTTCGAAATTTTAAAAAGATCTAAATTTGTCTAAATCTAAAATCTAAAATCTAAAATGAACAAATTTCTTGTAAACATACACATAAGTTGTTAATAAGCACTTATAAATATACAGTATTTATAATAAATAATCGATCTAAAATAATTGTCATTAATTATTGTAAAAATGCCGTTTGGCGGTCAAAAATGAGTTACCCGTTAGACTGAAATGCGGCGTTTACGCGCTCCGATATATTCTTCTCTAAAACAGTTACGCAGCACGATTGACAAAAATCTCTAAATCATTTTTTTTAAAAGTTCTCAACAAACTTTAACAGTTTTCCATAAATTTTAATTTTTGTTACGGGAAGTTCCAGCAATTTGCCTTAATGTACAATACCATGCACCACTAATTGATTATTTTCATTTCTCAAATGTTTAATTACGGTACGGAAAGTTCCAGCAATTTGCCTTAAGGCACGATGCCATGCAACACTAGTTTATGACTTAAATTAGATACCTGCGTGGGCAGCACATTCACTGCGGTAAGTTACACCATTAAACCCGCAAACTGGTCCGCTGTGGGAAGAGCATCCGGTGAGACAGGGACCCCAGTATGCAAGACGCGAACCACTAGCCAACAGCCCGCAGACCGATGAATGCTCCCGTCCTGCAGTATCGCACACTGGTTCCGACAAACTCGAGCCGCAGGAGTTAGTTTTGTTTACTTGAAATGATAAGAATACAAATGTCTATCTAATGAATTATTTTTAGGCTTGCAACGGAATATTGTTCAGCAATCTTTATCGATATCAAACAGGCATTTGATAAAGTATGGCACGAGGGCCTACTCATCCAAATAAAAAATTCTTTGCCGCACAAGATATTTTTACTATTGAAAAGTTACTTAACAAACAGATTATTCAGAACTAGAGTTGGAACAGAATCATCAGAATTATGTAACATCAAGTCGGGGGTTCCACAGGGGAGTGTTTTAGGGCCACTATTATATCTCATATATACGCACGACATTCCAACTGATAGCAATGTCATAATTGGAACTTTTGCCGATGATACAGTTGTCATGGGAACTCATACGAATGCATCCGTCGCAACGTCAAAAGTTCAACAATATGTCTCTGAATTTGAAAAGTGGCTCAATAAGTGGAAGATTAAAATAAATGAAACAAAATCTAGCCATATAACCTTCACAACAAGAACCCTGGACTGCCCAAGCGTAAAAATAAACAACATAGAAATATCGAAATATGAGAGTGTAAAATACCTTGGGATTCATCTCGATAGAGAGTTAAGCTGGCCAACGCACATCAAAATGAAAAGAAAACAGATGGAGAAGATGTTCAAAGAGTTGTATTGGCTAATTGGCAGGAATTCAAATATGTGCTATGAAAACAAACTCCTTTTATATAAAACAATAATTATCCCAATCTGGACATACGGCATTGAGCTCGTGCGCAAGCAATTCAAATATAAAAAAATACAAGTAGCGCAATCGAAAATTTTGTGAACGCACCCTGGTATGTTACAAATGACACCATACATAAAGACCTAAAAATAAAAACTCTTAATGAGATGATAAAAAAAAGGAGCAAAAATTACCACGAAAAACTATCAGGTCACCCTAACAAATATTTAAAAGAATTGAGCGAGGAATATCCCACACGAAGATTGAAAAAAAAATGGCCATACGATCTTAAATAAAATGTCAAAAATAAAAAAAGAGAGATATCTCATAGGAGATAAACTCTTAAATGCATTAACACCAACATCATATTGTCTTAAAAAATGTATATTATTTTGATTGACAATAAAACTATGCAAAAAAAAAGGCTTGCAACGAATAGTATATTCGGCAAAATGCCGAATACCGAATTTTCGGCATGTTCCAGAGACCGAATACCAAATATTCGGCAACTATTTGGCAGGTTTTTGGCGCTTGAACTCGTTTGTATTAATGTAATTACCATACTATAGTAGTTGTTATATTACAAACGCGCGACATGTTTATTCTAGCTTGATGCCTAGACTTGCTACCACTATTCTGTTACGCTTTGTTATTTAGAACACTTACAATTCTATTCTGCCGAAGACCGAATACTTGAATACCATATGTGATTAAAATATGGAAATAAATGGTAAAATCATGAAGAAAGGAATTTTTACATATATGCAAATGTGTTTGAATCATTTCTTCCATAAACATTTAATTTTTTTATAAACTTAATATTATTTTTTATATATTACGAAGGGTAATTATAATAAAATAAATAATAAACTGATCAAATTATATATTTAGTATATTTTGCTTCTTTGATGTTAACTATTCGCTATTCGACTGAATAGTAAGTTACTAATCCGTATTCGGCCGAATATTAAAAAAGCTGCCGAATATGCCGAATACCGAATATTCGGTGCAAGCCTATTGTTCAATTAATCAATGATTCATAACATTTGGTAGACAACGTCAATTGCGGTGAAAAATCCGATATTTTATCAAGAATTTCTTTAATTATAGAACTATAATTTTATTAATATTAAGTCAATAAAATTATTTGAATTTCTGCAAAAATATGTTCTGAAAGTTAGAGGACGAATACGTATGTCCTGCGGAATATGTAAAAAAAGTGTTAGGTTTTAAATATTTACTGAGGAATTTTGGCTGCAATATGTAATTGATAAGAGAAATAAAGCCGTTAATAATTTTAATACAGTAGAACTCCAATTATCCGAATTAATGGGGACCGAGACCCATTCGGATAATCAAATATTCGTATAATCGGAGTTTTTTTTAAAAATTGCCATTGGAGAGAAAAAAAGTTACGTTTTGATATTGCACTATTTTTTTATTGAATTAAATGAAAGAAACATGACATTTTCACATGTTTTAAATATAAATAAAATGTACTTATGTACAAGTTTATAAATGAAAATCATTGTTTTATAAACATCTCCGTCAAATAAAAACAAACAATGTGCCTACACTGGCTTTGCTGGTGGAAGAATAATAGCGCACTTAGACTTTTTTTGAACACTTTTTTTTAACAGTCGGAGTTCGGATAATTGGAGTTCTACTGTATAAAGTATATAGAGACAATATCACATTTTAATATCTTGGGTTCTGTTAATAGACAGAAACGTAGTAAAAATTAAAACGTTGCGTATTCGTGCGACGTAAAAATGTGACATATCTTTGCTCGTTACAGCAGCGTCACGGTTGTCTCATTTTTCTAACAATTGTGTATTAATGGGGTTTGCATATAATATTGTATCAAATTATGTATCAATTAATATTTACCGCATTCATATTGTAAACAAGGTCTGTGTAAAGCGGATAAACAGACAGTGCGTCTTGGCAAGCAAACTTGATTGCTACGGCATTGATGATCAGCGCAAGCATCTCTTGAGCCACATGGACCAAATTCCACATCTCCGTCCCCAATTCCTGCACATCTGAATAACATATAATTATAGAAGAATTTCATGACTACTATGCAAGAATTTGTGATACTTAGATATTTAACAATAAATCATTTTAAAATCCAGTAAAATATATTCGTACAAATACAAATAAGTATAAAATAATACATTTAAAAAGCATTCATATAAAATATAGCAATTTAACATACTTTGCCAAACATGGATTCGCGTAAGTATTTCCATCTGCTCCACAGACCGGGACGTAGTGCGGTGGACAATCACATGGTAATGTAGCAGCTACAGTGCCGAAATTCTGAGAAGAACTTGTAACAATCCCATCAACTCTACGAGCGCATTTACGCTTTCCACACACAATTTCACCAGCGTAACATGAACATAAATTGCATTCTACATAAAATGACGAACCATGCTCGATTCTACGTCCAGCCAAAGAGCAGGAATCCAGCGCCACGCATGGAAGTGGCTGGCAATCAGTTAGTACACCAGCTATAAATTTTACAATAAGATATACTTGTATACTTGTACCCGACGATATTCTATTTACTTGCATAAATAAACAAATATATATATATATATATATATATATATATATATATTTATTTATTTATACTAGCGGTGCTCGATCACACGTTGATGTGTTAACAAAATAAATAAATGAGATTTGTATTATGTTTGGCTGTATTAGATGCATTTTCGGGTAAAATATCCCATTACGGGCTTATACGCATATCAGATCAGCAGTCATTATACTTTATAAACCAAACAGACATCACAGCATATAACACATTTCAAACACAATTATCAAAATTTGTTTCGATAAGAAAATTTTCCACCTATTGTCTAAATAAAGATATATGTTAGTTGCTATTTTTCCAAAAATTTCTATTTGTCCCTTTTTACCCCATTTACACAAAATAAAATTTAACACAAAAATGAATGAATGAAAAAAAATCTTCGTAGTGGCCAAACCCATCCACGTGGTTTCAAAACCTATCCGGAGGAGTGTGTGTGCCAAATAAGTATAAGTTATAGTAATCACAAAAAAAAAGAAAATTTTTGTATATTTTTACGTTTCAAAGTTTTCTGAAAGTTTTGCATATCTTAGAAAAAATGGATGTATGTTTTTGTATGTATGTATGTGTGTTTGGATACATTTTTTCATCCACGATATCTGAGCACGGATCAACCGATTTGAATGGTTCAAAAATTATTCGAAAAGCTGTAATTATGCAAAAATCTGAAAAGCAACCAATTTTTGTGACAACTGCATGTTCGATTGATATGATTAAAAAAAACATTTGATCCGTATTGATTGAGTGAATAATTCATTACAATTTTTGTGAAGGCAGGTCTAGCAGTTTCGGATATTCAAAGCAAAAACTGCAAAGAATGAGAGAACTGCGTTTCCGATTAGATTAGATCATAGGCATATTGCTTGTGTCGAGTGTCAACTGTGTGGGGAAATGAGGTGTTTATTTTATTTTGGTAGATAAACTAAAAGGTCGTCGCTCAAACATAAGCACTTATGTCCTTTAGATTAATAAAATACGACAATGAAATTTATAATAATTATTTTAAAATATTTAAAACATATGTTATTACGCATTAATAAATTTTCATAGATGATTGATTATTTTTATTTCGCGAATATTTAATTTTCAGTACGGAAAGCTCCAGCAATTTGCCTTAAGGCAGGATACCATGCACCACTAGTTTTTTTAAATCATTTCACTCTCACCATTTCCACATCTGCATATTTTAAGACAACCCTTCTGCTGACCATGCACGCCGTCCATTGGTACCCGTACGAGTGTGCCCTCGGGCACTGCATAGTGAGACGCCTCGCCTAATGGGCAACCGGGTAAACAGCGGCGTGCGCTGCACTGCGCGCCTGGGCAGCGGCTGACCGAACAAACGCGCGAAGAGCCGCACGGTGATCCTCGACAAGGAGATGTAACAAGCTCCCGCAAATCACTACTAGGCGAACTACTGGTTATGATATTTGGCTCCAAGTAAGGCCGCAGTGCCACACATGATGCTTTTGGTTCATCTAGAAGATATTGTAATTTTAACCCTCCGTCGGTCGGATATTTTTTCACCTTCGAACGGTCGGAAAAATATAATTTCACTACAGGTTTGCCAAAAAAAAAATTCGCACGCAGTACGGGTAGAAAAATTGTTGATAATGAGTGCATTACTCATCCGATTTTCAGTGTTTGCGATTACCAATAAGTTTGGTAGGTTTTCAAGGAACTCTCGTCATGAAAATACTAACATTCATGTTACAACACATAGCAAAGAATATATACAACGCAGTTTGAATAGAAAATACTATGAAAAAAGCGAAAATACTGGTTTACATATATCAAAAAGCGTATATTTCATACAAAATGTATGTGTGGTCTAGACAGACCTTTCCGACCGTTCGAAGTATAAAAAAGTTAATATCCATATAATTATCCTTCTGTACATTTTTTCGTCCTGAATTTTTCATTGATCGACAGCTAATGAAATTTTAGGAAAAGTCAAGAAATTTCAAGTCGATAGGATTACTAGAAGTATTTTTTTTTAATTGAAGTCGAAAAAAGTCTGGCCAGACCACGCCAACCGACGGAGGGTTAACTATGTTTTTTCATACAAAAATCATTTTTAGTCTGTATATACTGTTGATATTTTAGTTATTTTGTCACATGCTAATTATGATAAAATTTCCTTTTGCGTTTACATGAAACCTACCTATAAAATATCTTTAACTCATTTATAAGATATGTTAAAGTTTACAAATATATGTATTATTATAATCTGTTCTACCTGGTGATAAAGTATTGCATAAACCAGCAGCCGTAAGACCAGGAGGTGCTCGAGCCCAGTCCGTACAGCGCGTAAGTAGATCAAGACAATCCTCTCGACAAATTCTGTCCACATGGCTGCTTCGAGAACAAGGCTTAAGCTGCAGAGCACAGGCTACCGCTTGCCAGGCATCAGGCAAACAAGTTGACATATTTTTCAAAGGTAACGTAACGCCGGGAAGAGCAAGAAAACCCTGAAAAGAAAAAGAATAATTTATCAAAATACACATAGAACTTTATATGTAAATATAAGGGGTATGATTGAACTTAATGAAATCTAATTTGGCGTTAAATATACCTGTTCGTTCCATAAAGCGATATCATGTCTAGCAGCTTCATCAGCTTCCTGATTGCAAGATCGAAATAAATCTATTGGTCTGTTATTGAAGTTGCTACAAAACGATAGGCCATCGCATCCTAATTCACATGGCTCTTCCACTAAAATGTTCATGAATAGGTTCAGGTGTGATAATAATAACTATTTTTTTTAATAATGTAAATATGGCTGTTATTGTGAATAAGTGTTAAGATATGTAATTGAATTAAACAATCAGTATAAAATAAAAATCATAAAAGCAAATAATATGTGGATCATGTTAATATATACCTTCATCAACGCATCGCCTCATTGCGTCTTCAGAGGTTTGAGCCAGACATCCATCGTCAAATTGCTCCCAGCTACGTGACCAATCGTCCCCAAATGTTTGAATACAAAGTCGACGACATCGCGGCGAATGGGCAAGTTGACAGCAATGCAACTTTGCCGAATCCAACACGCCTGCTCGTTCCGCAACTACATTGGGCCTTTGCGAGTGCTTGTGATCTCGGTCAAAAGTTAAGAAACATTGCCACATAGGGTGCTAAATAAAAAAATAATACAGATGTAGATAAATTATTTATTATTTTATTATTAAATTTAATGTATAAGTGAGTCAAGTACAATTTTCACATTTCTGCCAATTACAAAGAAACGGCTCGACCAAACGTCGCACCAAACTGAGAAACGATAGTCCTTATCGAGTTACGTCGAATGGCTTTTAAATTTTTGAATTTGGACCAGCCGTTTCGCTTTTCTTTTCTATATTTACTTTCTAAAGTGAAATTATTATTCATATTTCACATAAATATTATATCATTATAAACTTATCATAAAATATTAATAAAAATTTGTTTGGTTTTAAATTTGCCTTGTGCACAAGTGGGTAACTCTATATCCAGTAGTTGGTGAATAATTGATCAACTCATAAGATAAGAGTAATTGCAATATCCGATTACGGTTAAAAAATAAACTATATTGAATTAAAATTTACGAAATTTCAATGATTAGTTTCAAACAGCCATATTAACTCAACTATTCAAACTTTACCCTGAAATGTAGCGAAAATAGACTTAATCATTTGAGTTTTCAGTAATTTTTTTTAAATGATAATACCTGAGGTAAAGGTGGTCCACATTTGCCTTCAATTATATCGTCAATCGCTTCTTGTTGTGAGCCGGCATTACGTAAAGCGCGCCTACAAGAGTCTCGACATTCTTGTAAGTCAGACTTTACACAGCATGGTAAATCTATCAAAACAAGTGTCCAAAATTATACACTCATCAATAGAATATCGGATATAGAATTATTTAACAAAATCGAAATTTCAGAAAAAAAACTCTCATATTGTTCGGACGTATTTTCGTTTTATTATATTGGCCATGAAGGTGACAATCTTCATGGCCCTAGGATGGTTGCTACCCCTAGTAGAGGGGGTAGCGGAGTGGTTTGATAGAACTAATTGTTGACTTCTAAAAGTAAAGTCCGCGAAACAACATGTATAATAAAAAACCAATAATATATCTTCTTTCATTATAACTTAGTTACAAATCAGGGATTGTAATAAGAACTGCAACAAATACATAATATACAAACAAATCAGTGTTTAATAAAGTCCACAGCTATAAGGGTTAAATTATAACCCAACAACCTGAATTATCGAAGGAGAGTTTCAATAAATTTTATAACTACGTGACATAAATACACATATGGATTTAACAATTAACATTAAGATCTTATTTTCATAAGTATAACATTTGACACTAACATTTAAGTAGATCACCAGGCGGGGTAAGTTTGGTCTGGTTCCGTGCGCATGCCTGCACCCGCTGACTGTTCTCGGCACAGGCGGAAGCAACGCGAGCGCGTGCAGCGCGACTAGGAGTCGCTCGACCACGAAATAATGCGCGACAAGCCTGCAATAGTATTTTTATCTCAAATACGAAAAGAATATTTATAAACCCTTAAATTTATGTGGGCTGTTCTATAATATCTATTCAACATGGAATCAAGATAATAATTTGAAATTTAACATCACTAATTAAATAAATATTTTGCTGCAAAATTAATCTTGATATCATGATGAATAGATATTTATTATTTTAGGTTTATAAATATTCTTATGTATCATAATATTTGAGTGACGCGACAGATGGCGCACGAATTTACTTCATGTGACATTTTAGAAATAAATATATGAAACTTACTGTATATAAAAATTATTGTGCGCTCTATCTAAATGTTTATATAAAGAACTAATACTATTAGAGAATCATTTTTTGTTGATTTGGAAGCTTTTGCGCCCGTGGGAGCAAAGAAATTCGAAAATGTTTTTGTTAAGGACCACCCTAATATATATATATATATATATATATATATATATATATATATATATATATATTAGGGTGGTCCTTAAAATGGTCATTTTCGAATTTCCTTGCTCCCAGGGGCTCAAATGGTTCCAAATAGATAAAAAACAATTCTCTGAAAGTTTTAGCTCTTAATATTAACGTTTAGATAGAGCGCAATTCAATCAAAGTTTGTATGGAAAGAGCATATATTATAGATATTATATTACATTATATATATTACATTCGCATAAAGAAGGATTTTCCTATCCGTGTCTACAGGTAAAATTAACAATTGAACATTGAACGTATACATTCACATAATTGCGGATTTTCCTATCTGTGTCTGAAGGTACAATTAACAATTGATCATATCTCCAATTTTTACAATGAGCTGTTAAAAGATGATCATTGTACGGTACAATTTGTAGGTACAATTTGTACCTAATCTATTGTAAAAAGTACGTAATATGCAAATGCATCCAGTGCATCTGTGCACATACAACTATTATATGTAATAAAATAATAGTTAAATAATTCTAAAGATTTCTTATCCCTATTGTTAGTTTCGAATATCAATGATATATCATTTATACTAACTAACTAACGCGATTGGGTAAAAGCCTGGTTTACATGTAGGTTGAATGCTTCGATACCATACCCTACAATATTACAAAATTTAATTTTTATATTTTGGATTTAATGATAATAAAAGTAATTATGGTAATGTCAATTTTTTTTATTTCTCTGTCTAATCTCAATATTTATTAGTTTTGTAAGCCATCATTATATATTATACGCGGTGTTAAAATGTTTTATATAGTTTTTAGTCTGAATAAAATTGTATATTTTTTGTAATTAATTTGAATAAAAAATGTGCAATAACTATTTTCAAACAATACAGCGTAATTTTATTTAAAAGTCGCTACTTTTTTACAAAAAAATAAATACTAATTTATAGTCATTGAGTAGTTCTATTAAAATTATTATATTTTCGATTCTATATTCAAAATTTGATACGTTTGTTGAAAATAAGTACTAATTTATATTCATCAAGTATTTCTATTAAAGTTATTATAATTCTAAATTAAAGTCTTTCAATAAAACCAATGAATACTTCTATTGAAAGTCGTCACGAAATATTTCTGATGAAATCACTATTTTAAATCGAAACTAGTGGGGTGTATGGCATCGTGCCTTAAGGCAAATTGCTGGAACTTACCGTACCGTAACCAAATGTTCGAAGAATACTGAATGTTTTCAAATAGATTATTATTAATATTGTAACATTGTCTAATATTTATAAGAATTATATAAACTGAATTGCAAAGTTGAAATTATTTGTTTAAAGTATATTAGAACTATAATCAGAATTAAAAATAAAATCTGAATTATTTTCGATATACAAAAAAATGTTTATTAAAAAAAAAATTAAAAAAATATTGAAAAAAAAAGTTGAAACAAATTTTTTTTCCAAAATCAATTATTTTGTTAAGACAAGCAGAAAATTCTTTGAATCATTAAAATCGAATGCTTAGTTCTCTCAAAAACTGCCATTTTATGCACATTTAGCTCCGTATCTTCGAAATGGCTGGGCCTGCCTTTGCCAAAAACTAATAAACACTTTTCCCAATCATTACTAATTGAATGTTTTTTAGATAATTCAAATCGGATGCTCCGTTCTCTCAAAGACTCGATTTCTATTTTCTGCACTCTTTGCTCTTTATCTCCGTAACTGCTAGTCCTGTCTTTGCCAAAAACTAATCCCTATCGATAGGAATCGAATGCTTTTTGAACCATTCAAATCGGCTGATCCGTGCGCTCGAAAATGTGACTGAAAATTTGTATCCATGCATACATATATACACAAACACACACATCCATTTTTTCTGAGGTATGCCAAAATCAGAAACCTTCAGAACGTCGAAAAATGTAAAGATTTTCAATTTCGATTTTCCTTACCCTACGGGAAGATAATCATACTTTTGCAAATTCATAAAATAATATAATAATAATTCTTGTGAATGTATCATATGTACCATAAAAATACATTGTTACTCTATTTCTAAAGCGAACTATTATTGCTGTGCGTAATAAAGGGTAGTTAAAAGCTTCAATTGAAATTACGATTTTAGGTAAATCCGTAAATCCCCGGAATTTATATTGGATGGGTTGTCTAGTGTTTGTTTAAATTTATGATACGGGAAATGGGACAAAGACTGTAGAACATGGGTGTCAAACTCGCGGCCCGCAGCAGATATTTTTGCGGCTCATCTGCCCGCATATGTTGACAAGTGATAATATGCAATAAATAACAATTCGATGAAAAAAAAATAAAATATTCAACTGAATATTCCGTAATGATGCGTTTCAATGATTTAATTTTCGTCCCATTTAAATGATTCAAAGCACTTTCTGCTTGTTTTAACAAAATAATTGATTTGGACAAAAAAAACAATTTTTTGTTCTAAATTTTTTTTTTCAACAATTTTTTTTTGTATATCGAAAATAGATCAGATTTTATTTTTAATTCTGACTAAAGTTCTAATATACATTAAACAAATAATTTCAACTTTGCAATTCAGTTTATATAATTCTTATAAATATTAGACAATGTTACAATATCTATAATAATCTTTTGAAAATATTCAATATTCCTCGAACATTTCGTTACGGTACGGGGAGTTCCGTTTTAAAAATTTTGTTTTATAATTATACAATACAATGTATATATAATATATACAATATTAATGAGTGTTACTCTTTTTTTTGGCATTGTTATTAGACTCGAAATGTATGCTATTCCAATAGAAATATGCTTTTCTATTAAATTTGTTTTATTGTTGGATGTATTATTATTATTATATTATAGATATATTGATGTATTGGATGAATTAGTGTAGTCTTTGTTTCACTGGATGACGGTCTCGATGCAGATCGAAACGTATGGATTAATAAGCAAATTTCCTAATTGCTTTAGTTTTTTTTTATTTAGTGCTATTGCCCAAATCAACAGACTCATCACAAAAGATTTATCATTACCATATATATATATATATATATATATATATATATATATATATATATATATATATATATATATATATGATATTCAGTTTTCAGGGCAATACATCAATTAAAAAATTTGTATGACTTTAAAACATTTTTATTTTTTCCATACGTTTCGACACATAGTTTTGTGTCATCTTCTGTGGACTCTATTTTGAAGGTACAGATAAAATTATTAATTAAAACTAATATATAAGAAGTGATATGGTATGAACTTACAGGTAATTGTAATAATCCTAATTATTTCCTAATTATAATTGTTCACAATGCACAATGAAACCAATTCTTGTCACTTTAAATGTAACAATAATAAATTTTTTGAATGAGTTATATATATATATATAGTTTTTTTGCGGCCCGCTTGAAGTTAAACCTTGCTTATGCGGCCCGATTGCACATTTGAGTTTGACATCCCTGCTGTAGAAGGTTTGTCAATAGAAAAAGCGCAGTATATTTTGTATTGAAAAATATTTAGAAATATTCTCTAGTTGGATCATTTTTAAGTCGTTAGTCAAGTATGCAACACAGTTCGTCGTTTTCCGCAGATTAGATAATTAATATAGTAAATTAAATAATTTTTAAAGAAATTATTTGATTTTGAAAAGTTTTAAAGGTGTAATACAGTTTCAATATTCCATAAACAAATAAAAACACTTGAAAAACAGTGCATTTTACGTTATAGTACATACTATAATCATTATATAAAAACAATATTTAAAAATAGACAAAGAAAATGAGTACTGACATGTGGAAGTATTTTGAAAAGAAGAGTAAGAATGAAGCGAAGTGCACCCTGTGCTTAGAAGTATTAAAAACGTGTGGTAATACTACGAATTTATCGAAACATCTTAAAAGTCGCCATCCAAATGTTTTGCAAACCGCTAGTAGTTCTTCTAGTACATCAACATCAGTAACAGCTTTTTGCAGGTAATATTTTTATGTTATATGTTTATATATGCTTTTTACTGCTATAAATGTGAAATTTGTTATTTTTATCAAAAGCGTAATTGAACATGGTTATTTCAGTTTAGTATATCTAATTATAGGTTTATTTTGTCTTAGTGTTCAACATGTAATAATTAATAACTATTTTCATTGATATGTGTACAGGGTAATTGCAAGTAACACGCGCCATCTCATTTTCTTTCAATTTTTAACAAGAAATGTTTATAATACAATCAAAATATAAAAAATGTTTTAATACAAAATTTCAATATGCACGTGCGAAGAAAAGTAATACCATTTTTTAGTGCAATCTTTTTCAGTTTTTACTAATATTAATAAATTGTAATATCTGACATCAAAATTAAGTTAATTCAAAAAAAATTAAAACCATTTATTGCAAATTATCAAGGTCCGCATTTCAACTACGAATTATTCAAAATTTCAATACCCAAGTATAAATAACAGGTTATACTAGATTTTAATGAAATTAATCTAGTTTTTACTGATGTATATAGAACAAAATGGCCAGAATAAAACTTCTAAAATATTCAAAGATTTTTTTTTCAAAATTCACACATTGCTATATATATATATATATATATATATATATATATATATATATAAACGTTCTAACAATTTTTATTTAAAGTTAATTATATATAGATTTTACTAAATTTCAGTAAATGTTATCTAGTAAATGTGATTATACTAATGTAAACAAATAAATTGTTCGGAAGAAAATTTTATGTTGTTTTAGAAGTATCCTAACAAATACTATAATACTAAAATAAACGGCTGAAAATTAAATGAATCAACACAAAATACGAGTTAACTCTTTCCGATTAAGTAAATAGTATTAAATAGTATTAAAGTTATTATTAACTTCCCGTAGGGCAAGTTATAGTAATCGCAAATAAATCGAAAATGAAAATTTTTGCATTTTTCGACGTTTCAAAGGTTTCTGAATATTTTGGCATACCTTAGAAAAAATGGATGTATGTGTGTGTGTATGTGCGTGTGTGTATGTGCGTGTATGTATGTGTGTTCGGATACAAATTTTCGTCGACGATTTTGTGAACACGGTTCAACCGATTTGAATGATTCAAAAAATATTCGATTCGTATTAATAAGGAGACGTGCTGATTAGTTTTTGACGAAGGCAAGTCTAGCCGTTCCAAAGATACGGTGCAAAAAGTGCCGAAAACGGTAACTCAGTTTTTAAGAGAACGGAGTGTCCGATTTTATTAATTCAAAAAACATGACAAAGAACTTTTTTTCAAAGCAATCGTACTGTTTTAACTGCATAGAGACAAAATATAAAGCGCGTAAGCGCCGCGTCGCTTTCTAACGGACAAACATTGGTACGGAACCCATAGGAATGTAAACAAAATTTATACTTATTATTAAAATCTCTATAAAATACCTGATAATTGGATGTGCATATGTCTAATGATCATTTTTGACCGCCAAATAGCATTTTTTTTACTTTTTTCGTTAGATCTCCGAAACCCCTAGACCTGCCCTCATGAAAATTTCATCAATTCTTCATCTTGTCAATACAAATAAAATGTTTTTTGAATTATTAAAATCGGACGCTCCGTTCTCTTAAAAACTGAGTTACGGTTTTCGGCACTTTTTGCCCCGTATCTTCGGAACGGCTAGACCTGCCTTCGCCAAAAACTAATCAGCACGTCTCCTTATCAATACGAATCGAATGTTTTTTGAATTATTAAAATCGGTTGATCCGTGTTCTCGAAATCGTAGACGACACACATATACAGTTCAGAAAGTTTTGAAACGCAAAGATATATAAAAATTTTCATTTTCGATTTTTTTGCGATTACTATAACTTGCCCTACGGGAAGTTAAAAAGTTTAATTATGTATAAATTATATAATAATGATAAAATATTTCTCTAAACAACTTTTTTTATTGCTAATTCAAAATTATTGTTTTAGAAATGAAATACCAGCGAAAAGACAAAAGCGTTCGGAGGAAACTTTGAACCCGATTATGCGAGCATTTGAAGCGCGGGCTTCTATTCAACCCGGAGGCGATAGAAATAATATGATAACCAATGCGGTTTTATATTATATTTGTGTGGACCATAAACCCATTAATGCAGTAAAAAGTAGAGATTTCATTAATCTTTTGAAAACAATTGAGAGTAGCTACCATTTACCATCAGATACTCATTTCAAAAACCTCTTGAGTACGAAATATAATTCAATGAAATATTTATTGAAGTCGGAACTTCAATTAGAAGATTTTTATAGTTTAACGTGCGATATATGGGCCGACACATTAAACATGGTAAGCTATTTAGGTATTACAATCCATTATTTGAGCGGAGAAAAATTGAAATCAGCAAACCTAGAAACTATCAGCTTGCCAGAAAGACATACGGGGGATTATATAAAGGAAAAATTAACATCGGTAATCGGGGATTGGGAGTTAAATGTTAGTAAGATTACCGCAATTGTTACAGATAATGGTAGTAACATGGTCTGTGGAATCCGAAATTTTTTTATGGCATATAATTCATCTGATAAACATCAGTCGTGTTTTGCTCATGCTATAAATCTTATCGTCGATAAAGCAATTTCGGAGTCTGAAGTAGCAAATTTTATTAAAAAAATAAGAAATATTGTAAAATATTTAAAAAAAAGTGTTATGGCTACTGACAAGCTGAGAGAAGCGCAAATAGAAAGTGCAGGGCAACCACTCAAATTAATATTAGATGTTAAAACAAGGTGGAACTCCTGCTATTATATGTTGGAGAGATTTGTGAAATTGGCTCCATATGTCGCACAAGTAACCATAAGTGATTCCAATGCGCCGGACATATTGTCAGCTGCTGATATCGAAATAATTCGCGAGCTATCAAATATACTGCAGCCGCTAGAATATATTACTCGAGAATTGTCTGGAGAGCAGTATGTCACCATATCAAAAGTAATACCGTTAGTTAATTGTTTACTTGCACAACTCCGGTCAATCAAACCAAAATCACCCTTGTGCATCAAACTGAAACAAATTTTAATCGACACCGCGAACAGAAGGTTTTCGAATGTCGAAGATAACTCGGATATAGGTGTAGCAACATTGCTCGATCCGAGGTTTAAAAATCTTTATTTTAGAAATGAAAATGCTTGCGCAAATGCAATTGAAACATTGCGAAGTGAAATTTGTTTGCACACTTCAATATCAAGTGCAGATTTAGAAACCACCCCAAATAGTTTTGATTTTTGGCATCTACATAAGCAGATAGTGTCCGAAAGAAAGAAAAGAAACAATACACAAGATGAAGTAGATTTGTATTTAAAACAACATGTGACTCCTCTAACTAGCAACCCTCTTACATCATGGGAGGACATGAAAGAAAGTTTTCCCAATTTATATTTGAAATTTAGAGAATATGCCACAATAATGGCTACATCAGTACCAGCTGAAAGATTGTTTTCGGAAGCTGGTACTGAAATTATTGAAAAGCGTAATAGGCAAGAACCTGATTATTTAAATAAGCTTCTGTTTTTAGCAGGACGATCTGAAGAAGAGTGGTTTAATTAATCAATGTTTTTTTTTTTTTAATTCAGGCCATTTTTGAATGTTTGTTTATAAATGTTTTAGTTATATATACTACTCATTGAATTCATTTTATGTTTAATTTAATTTTTATGATAATGATATTCAATTTTTTGTATTTTCTATTTTTATTTAACTTGTATTTAATATTTGTTTTTTAGGATTACAGCCATATAAATAAATGATTTTCTTTGTTTATACTATTGGAAATTTATAGACTAATAATCGTCACTCTATCAATGTAAAGTAAAATGAAATTGATGAATTTACACAATGTAAATAATTATATTAATAAAATATTATATCTTACGCATTATCGCAATTCTTTTACTGCTATTTTTTACGTTTGTTGCAGAAGAAATATATTCATTACTATTTTTATTGTTATAATAATCAGTTAGACCATCATAAATGATTAGTTTCTTGGTTAAAAATAATACAAATTTGTACAATGCTCTTTGTAGAACAAAATATATGAAAATGATAAAACTATATAAATAAGATACAGAAATTGACAATTATTTTTATAATATATGTTTACTACATTTTAGCACGTTTCAAAATTGTAATATTATATAATTGTTGAGCGTTTTTCTTTTTGATATAAATTAGCAGATACTAAATTCATAAATGAATACTTTCGTCACAAAACGATACTATTTTTAAATTAATGAGTAATTTTCTTTTTGATATAAATTAGCCGATACTAAATTCATAAATCAATACTTTTGTCACAAAACAATACTATTTTTTAATTATTCAATATTTTTCTTTCTGATATCAATTTGTTCTTATAATAAATCATCAACAATAATCAACATTTCAATATCCCATTGTGAGTGGTCCTTAATATTAAGAGAATTATTGGGAAAATTGATTGTCATCTATACCCAATAATAATAGAATATTATATTTTCCGCGTAAATTTCTAAAAATGTTACCCTTTTTTCAAGTTTTTATGTGTTTTATTGTTATAATTAAGTCTATCAATATATTGAGTTCTCTCAGACATTTAGGTGGTTTATATAACTTTGTCAAATATTTTAATGTTACGCTTTTACTCAAAAAAAATAAATTAAAATTAATTTAAAAATTTATAAAATATATATATATATATATATATATATATATATATAAAAGATTAAGATTAATTAAGATGGTCCTTAAAATGGTCATTTTCGAATTTCCTTGCTCCCAGGGGTTCAAATGGTTCCAAATTGATAAAAAACAATTCTCTGAAAGGTTCAGCTCTCAATATTGTCTTTTAGATAGAGCGCAATTCAATCAAAGTTTTGTATGGAAATAGCATAAAAAAATTTCAAAAATTTTGCAGATCTTCGAATTTTCAATAAAAATGACACAAATTTTTACTTTTAATTCATTTGTCTTTTAGTTATACCTAAAAAATTTTTTTTTAATTTTCAAAACTTTTTCCATGCCATTTCCATACGAAGTTTGATTGAATTGCGCTCCATCTAAAAGTTAATACTAAGAGCTAAAACTTTCAGAGAATTGTTTTTTATCAATTTGAGCCCTTGGCAGCAAGGAAATTCGAAAATGTCTATATTAAGGACCACCCTAATATATATATATGTATATATATATATATATACTCGTATATATATATATATATAAAGAGAGATAGAGATATAAGAGATAGAGAGATATATAGATAGAGATATATATATATATCTATCTATATCTATCTCTATATCTATAATATCTATCTATATATATATATATATCTATATATATATATATATATATACATATATATACATATATATATATATATATATATATATATTCTAGCCTAAAAATATATTTTTGAAGCAACGTAAGAAGTTACAAAATGTACGAAACCCACTTCGTGACAATCTGGTGTCCTGGCACTACCGCAACATTCATCTCCCAGCGCCTGGCGTTCGACACAGTCGAAAAGCGTTTGTTCGTCACTCCGCCTACATGATGTTTTTAAGTCATCGTCTGAAGAACCAGTACTGCAAGCATGACGACATAATGGTGCCCTAGCCAATTTGCAGCAGGACCTCCCAGACCAGTCTTCTCCACGTGACATTGCTATAAAAACAATAATATGGATAAGTTTTTTTTTTTTTAATTTTATTTGAACAGCGATCAGAACTTATAGGTTCTATACTTATAGGTTTGTTTTTATTACAGATGGCAACCCAAACAGTTGTCACATCTCTGTACAATAAATTTTTATTACAATCTCTGTAATAGGGTAAGTATCGTGCAACAATGCCGGGTGAGGGCTATTTTCACTTGGAAACATATTGCTATCTATATTTCCAAGTGAAAATCGTTGTCAATGTTGCTTGACAACAGGCTGCTCGAAGTGGGTATCGAACCCGGGACCTCTGAAACAAGTCCCGTCGCTCTTAACCGCTAACCTACGGGCGAGCCCTAATATGGATAAGTGATTGAAAGCTGGTGTTAAAACCGCTCATAAGATAGTAGCACACTCAGTCATTTAAACCTGCATTTAAATCCCATGCAATTGCATTTAATTCTAAAATTCATAAGCTATTTTCACATCTTTAAAATGCTAATTTTCCACCAATACAACAGAAACAAATAGCAAGCGGCATAGTTATTAATGTTTTCATCAAACTATGTTATTAATTTTCTAATAATTACAGAATGTTTACAATCCTTATTTGAAACCTTAAATATATTGAGTTGACCATGAGGTTATCCAAAATGTTTGACGAATATTATGCAGATTTAAGGAATTTATATTGTCAGTGATTTATAATTTTTATAAATGAATTATATAATTAGTTTACAAACATTATGTCTAATACAAATTATTTTAATAATATCGATAACATATTTACAAAAACTAAAATAAAAACGCAGTAATTTTTCGATTTTTTTATATCAAATTGGTAACATACATTTGTTTCAGAAACCGTGGGAAGATGGTTATATTATGAAGTTGAATATGAAATATTACATATAAACAAATATTTTGAAAAAAGTTATATAATAATAAAAAAATAACATGGTCTATTTCTCAGCAGATTGCAGGTATTTATTCTAGATGATGGGTATCTGAAATAAAAATAAATCAGTTAATACAATTATTATCCGTGAATTATTACGATATATTTAGTTCAAATCATGAAATTATGTATTAGAAAAACTATTCACTCAAATATATATTTTCACGCACTTGTAAAAATGTAGCATAAAAACTAGTAAGTATGCAAAGTTTAATTTTTTTGGTTAAATGAGTGGATTTTTTTAATTTTTACCTTTAACGATCCAATAAAGAGAATTTTCTGAAGGTCCTGATTAGTTAGGTGATGCTGTTTCTATTAAAAAAAAGTGGTACTAACTGCACTATGAGTTTGAAAGTTACACGGGTACTATATAGATCTGAAATAAAAATAAATCAATTATTGCAAATATTTTCATTAAATTATTAATACAATTATAGCATAATCTGGATCATTGTCATTGTAAAGGTAAGTAAAAGCAAATAATTACCAATTTTTTTGCAAAATAGGCTAAAATAAAACAACAACTTGGTAAAGTTTGTATATGTCTGAAGGATGAACCTAAACAACACTTATAGTGCGGGCAAAACTTCTAAAAAAATATTAACTAATTTTAGACAAATATTGCTAATATAATAATCGATAATATAATATAATAATCGATAACGTTTTATTACATATTTAGTAATTTTGATAAAGACTACATTAACTCAAAAATCAAAAAAGTGAGGGCACTAATGTATTTAATTTTTTTTTTTAATTTTATTTGAACAGCGATCAGAACTTATGAGTTCTATGAGCTATTGTGATTAAGATCTTACAAACTACGTTTGTTTTATTACAGATGGCAACCCAAACAGTTGTCACATCTATGTATGATAAATTTTTATTACAATCTCTGTAATAGGGCAACTATGGAGCAACAATGGTGGGTGAGGGCTATTTTCACTTGGAAACATATTGCTAAAGTATTTAAACAAAAAGAAAAAAACGATGCACCAGAATCTTTCTATTAATCCATGCTTTTTGTATAATAATTAAATGATATAGAAACTAGATTATATCAATACAAATCAAATGATTAGATTATATTAAGATTCAAAATTGATTCAGAATAATTATATATAGTTAAATGTAATACTAATACAGAATACTCACCTAAAGAACGTTTATTTATAGGTCGAATAATGTCGAGTAATGGTGCGGCTTACGGGGGCCACGAATGTTGTGGCCTCCTCCATGCCGGTCTCGCACTCCGCATCAATTTCTTCAGGAATGGTATCCTCCTTATTGGATTTGTCAATAACTTTAGGCAGTATCTGTGTGTGTCGTGATCTGGCACTCCTCAGCAAAACCGCATTATCCTCCTGTGTTGCTGCGACATGGGCCCGTCTTTCGCAAAACCATTTACGCGCTCTGCGCACCAAAAAACATGCTAAAAATGTCGATAATAGAAGCACTGCATTGGCCGTAGTTAAATAATCTTCCCATACATTTTCAGGGAACGCGGGCTTTATAGTTTTTGGGGACAGAAGGTTCCACATGTTTGGATAAAAAGGCGGCTTAAAAAATATGTCAAAAAAATATTGTTACAAATTTGGACGGTGCTTTCAATTATTTTATTGTTGACGTGTATACTAGATTCGAAAAATATTACAAAATTCAAATATTCAAATAGCCATGAAAATTTTGTACGACTATTTTGAAAAAATAGTCGTATTATGACAAGTATGCTTATTTTTAACAAATTAGTTATTATAATATTTTTTTATTTCATTATTATTATAATAATATTAACTATTATTATTAACTTCCCAAAGGAGAAGTTTATGTTTTCGCGAAAAAATCCGATTTGCTAATTTCATATTTTATCAACGTTTTAAGTAATTCTGAATCGAATGAGACCAATTTTGGATAAGTATGTGTGTGTAAGTGAAGCGATTTTTGACCTTTCGTCGACGTTTTCAAAAATTTAAAAGCCATTCAATAAAAGCTGATAAGCACTCGCGTTGTTTGATACGATCGGCTAAGCTGTTTTTATAGAATTAGCAGAAAAGCATTTTAGCCAAAAACCTTAATTTGATTTTGAAAATTAAAAAACTATTCGAAAGCTATCATTTGGAAATAGTGCTGATTAGTTTTTGACAAAGATCGGCCAGGCCGTTTAATCGTCATTGATTTTTAAAAGAAAGTTCACCGATTTTAATGAATCTTTGTGTAGCGATAGAATTCCTGGTCAATTAATTACAAAATAAAATTAAAATATGAATTAATATGCCGCGTTTTTAGAAAATACAGTGAGTATGTGTTAGGCGCATCTTCGTTGTGTAACAAAAAAACTGGACAGAATTGAATAATGTCCATTTTTTCTGTTATCCACATTACGATGCCCTACATCAACTTGGTATAATCATAAGTTAGTGTGCTGATTTCTTAATGATAAAGCATTATTTAAACATGTCGGGAAGTTCATGCAACTTGTCTTAAGCCAAAATGCCACTTACAACTAATTATTATAAATATTTTATTTACTTATTTATTCATTTTAATAATTTTATTTATTCATTTTTATATTATCATTATTACAATATATTACTTTTAAGTTATTAATTAATTAATTAATTTATTTTTTTATTCTTCCTTTGCTTGATTTTCAATATCCTCGCTTTTAACTTTTGTAGTCTATAGATTATAATTTGATTGTTTATAATAAGAAGAAATAAATAAAAAAAGTAATTGCTAAATATAATTTTTAATTTACTGAAACAAAATGAACTTTGTAAATACCTGCATTACAAAAGTTTCAAAAATTACATCATATGGGCCGATTCTGCCGTACAACAGACCAATGTTATGGAAAGGCCATGTTACGCTCCAAATTCTATACATTATGCTACTGAATCATACTGAATAAGTAAATACTGTCAATATGTCATGTATTTGCTGTGCATTCAGGCGTTTTACACAAAAAGTGCAACGTCACTTGTATGTTATAAACCTGAGTCAGAAAGACCCTGTTATCTAAGATCATTTTTTTGACATTTCTGCGGTTTCTAGATCAGGTTTTCTATCTTACAACCTGAGGAAAACGCCTGACTACACAGCAACCACATGGCTTTTGTCAAGATTTAGAACAAATTAGTATGGAAAGTTCTTCATAACAAAGCCTTGCCATAACATTGGTCTGTTATGCGGCAGAATCGGTCCATAAAAGTCGCACTTGTAAGTTTACTAAATAATGTTTTAAATGCCTATAAAATATACTAAAATTTAATAGGTAAACTTCAGATTGCATGTGCATGAACTTATATAACTTCATATTATAAAGTCACGTGTATTTTTTTTTGAAAACTGTTAACAGTTTTTTTACATTATTTTTATTCATTACTATTATTTATAAAAAAAAATAGTTTGGTAAAATCATTAAAATTTGCAAAATTATTCATATTTATATAAATGAAGAGTCATTTTTAATAAATTAACTTCGTTGAATATGTATAATATTTAAAAAAATAATTTATTAAAAAAAAAACTGTTTATTCACATATGTATTTTTAAGCACGTCAGATTGTAGCACATAATCTAGTATGCAAAAAAAAAACAATTGGACTCATATTTGTAAAAATCAAAATCTTTCCAAAATCATGTGGTTCGCCTTTACATACACCGTTCCTCGTAAATCTTTCTGGAGTGAATATTGCAATGGGTGGGGACTTTTGATAGTACTGTTAGCAATATTATTTTGCTGCTTGGTGAACTGCACTATTAAATGTATTACAAAATGGAACGAAAAACCGAGGAACGAAAAACCGAGCGAATACACCCCGGCCATACATGCTCAACAGAATGAAGATCATTACAATTCATACACCAACAGGACTTATTGCCACTACAGCTACATTAAATGAAATAATATCACGTAGGTAAAAATGAAAATCATTTAATAACTAGATGAAAAAAAAATATAACGTGAGGTCTAAATGAAAGTGAAATTCAGCCAAATCTCACTAATTATCATTGAGCATAATTGTAAAGAACATTAGATAATAGCAA